AAGACATCTACAAGCAATGTGATGAAGGTAATATTTATGTGTTAGCAGTTATAGTCATGATAATTATTGAATTGTTAATTTATAGGGATGAATCAAAATTCTTCAAAGATTGTTTTAAAAAGTGAAAAAGAAATAAAATCTAATGTTTCTGCCTTAAATAATACATTTACTAAGCTATTGAAAGATCTTAAAAAAGAATTAAAAGAGAATAATACTAGTGTACCATGTATTATAGAGCATTTACATGATACTGGATATACTTACCTACCATTGGATGAGTTAAAGACCTCCAGTGATGCTATTGAACTTATTCGTAACCTTGATAATTATTATGACTTTTTAAATTGTGATGTTCTTGAGGACATAGCTATGGAATTTACACCAGATTTATCACAGAAATTTCAGAATCATTCAGAAGCTGCTCTAGAATTTCGTGAGTCCGAATCTGTTGAAGACCTCAAAGAATCTTTGCAGGAAATTTTCAGTCCTCACATACACAACTTAGCTGATGCACCAAAAGCACATATACACCTTCAAAATGCATGGAGAGAGCTGCAGCTTCATAAACTGTTTACTCTTATCAAATGCTTCTTTCCTACATGTGACCACTTGGCCCTAACTAAAGCAGTAGGCATCATACGCTCTTCAGTTCACATTACATACTTTATGACTGAATCATCAAAAGAAATAGAAGACCTTATTTTACGTAACAGAGAAAAGTTAGCATTCATGAAATACATTGGAGTCTATGGGCTATGCATTAATGGTGTAACTATTCTTCAAAGTAATAGTGATAAATCCTTTAACTTTGATACTGCTTTATCTGAGGCAGCACAAGCAAAGCAAGTTGAAGTAATAGAATTTATTCTCAGAATAGAATTGTGTAGTGATGACACAATCACTAAAAGCATGGAAAATATGCTGATCACTTTACAATTTCACAGAAATTATATTGATAGCATCATAGAAATACTTATTAACAAGTATCCCAGCAATTTGTGCAAAAAAGGATTCATACTAGCTGCTCAAAAGGGATTTATTGAAATAGTTTTAGAATTCCGAAAGAAAATCAACTCAAATACCCAAGACAATGCTGGCAGGACAGCACTCATGTTAGCTAGTCAAAATGGTCATCAAAAAGTGGTTGAGCTACTCCTTAATGAAAAAGCTGATCCTAACATTCAAGACAATGATGGCTGGACAGCACTCATGTTAGCTAGTCAAAATGGTCATGAACAAGTGGTTGAGTTACTCCTTAATGAAAAAGCTGATCCTAACATTCAAGACAATGCTGGCAGGACAGCACTCATGTTAGTTAGTGAAAATGGTCATCAACAAGTGGTTGAATTACTCCTTAATGAAAAGGCTGATCCTAACATACAAAGGAAAGATGGCGCAACAGCACTCATGTTAGCTAGTAAAAATGGTTATCAACAAGTGGTTGAGTTACTCCTTAATGAAAATGCTGATTCTAAGATAC